CCCGTGCTGTTCCCTGTGCCATGATTTTTCCTGCGGGGTTTAACAGGACCCACAGTTGTACCGCTGGGAATAGTAAGGGGACAGGCATCCTAAGGAGCTCCCGGACCCAACAGAGCCCCTGGAGAGAAAGAAGCTGCCGATCTGGAGCGGCTCCGAGGTGCCCACGTAGCTCTCCTGGGGGCAGGAGCTGAGGATGGGTCCTGGGAAGGTGATGACCACTGGAGGTGGGTAGACCACGGCTCTGGAGTCGCCGCAGGACGTGACGCAGGGCTCGTTCCAGGCATTGGCGTATGGCTGAGGGCAGGTCACCTCACAGGGGTTGTAGCAGCGGGAGCTGAGCAGCTGGCGGTTGAAGGACATCTTTCTGCAATGGAGCTGTGTCTGGAACAGACAGGATAAATGCAATGCTCAAGAGAGAGTGCAGTAAGAGCCTCCAAGGGTCCTGCATGAAGGTCTAGATGGACAGGAAAAGACACTTCGCCATTGCAGACATTTCTTTTCAACTTCACCCCACTCTTATTTTGATGACTTAAAAAAGGGGATCAATGCCACCTGATACTGATGAACCTGCTTCCCATTCTGCTGCCCCATGCAGCCCCTCTGCTGAGAACACACCAGCGCTTGTGCTGCTATTGAGTGCAGGTACTAAGACACAGACAGGCAGCAACTGGTTCAGGGTCATTTGGGGACTTTGAAAAAGAGCCAGAACCAGAAATGAGGAAGTCCCAGGACTTTCAGTGTTGAAGGTCAGCAATGGTGAGAACGGGCACCCCATGCACTCACCTTTAAGACGCCTAAAGCAAAAGTCAGTTTGGGGCAGCTGATCTCTGTATGTGAAATAATTGAAGCCCTCCCCATCTGGTGGAGATGAAGAGACTCTCTTCGAGTCAGTGCAGAAATGGGCCGTATAGAAATGAGCCAACTATAGCTTTCCTTTATGATATTCAATTGTATTTGATGAGGTTGGTTTTTTTAGGAGAAGGCTTTGGTACATAGTTGGAAGCTGTCCATATTTTGCATTATCTATGTCCAGTTCACTTTAATAGGAATTAACAATGCCAAATGCTTTGGTAGATTTGCAAATCCAACCTTTAACTTCTAAAACTTGATTCCATCAATACCTGAGAGTGAAAATGGCTAAAATAATCTCCTATGAAAACAGTCTGTGTTCAACAACAGAAGAACTCCCAAAGTATCAATGCAATGCTCAGTTTTGAAGCTTCTACAGCAACATTTTACAAATTTGAAAAATAGAGATTTAAAGAAGACTTACTTGGTTCAGCCAGGAAGAGAAATGCCGGAGAGTGATTAGAAGAGCTCTGAGCTGCAAGTGCTTTTATATGTTTCCTTGGACTGCCTGGAGCCACCGAGACATCTGTTTTGTGTGTGGGCCTTTCATCACACGAGCAACATGTCCTGCGTGTGTCACTCCCCCAGGTGGGGCAAGTTTTGCATGCTGTTTTGATTACTGAGCAATTTGCAGACACAAGGGATGTGGCATGAATATGACAAAGACTGTAGGAGTCTTTCAACCGTAACCTGCTCTGGCCAAACTTGTCCCTAGTATCATTCCCCTGTCTTCATCCATGTTACAGTACCAAAGAGTCAAATTCTTAGTTAGATCTTTTAAAAACTGATTTAACAGGGAAACTAATATTAGCCCGGGAGGCTACACCTCTCTTCCTCCAAAGACTCGTGTCCATTTGTTTTAAGCATGTGTTTTGCACATTGGGGTTAGGTGAGTTTACTCATATCATATAAGTTGAGTGCCCCTAAAAAACTTTGCAATATGAAACCCCAGGTTTGTGCGGGTAAGAACAAACTTGCTGCCGAATCTCTCAGGAAGGAAAAGTTAGGGTCCCTATTCCT